GGTCTGGCCCATCTCAGGCACCTGTCTTCCCGCAGGTCAGGAGAAGGTGGCAGAGCTTTGTCGCCAGCCTCCCCAGCGTGACCCTGAGTTGGCCAGCCTCCCTGGAGCTCCCACCAGGGCCACCCACTAAAGATGCTGGAAGCCACAGCAGCCCTTCTATGCCTGGGCCAGACAGATGACCTGACAGCCTCACAGCCTTTCTGGACTATGGGACAAGGCTCTCTGCCCACAGGAAGTGCTAGGCCTCTGCCCAGCTCACTCAAGCCCTGTGGGTGCCTCGCTGCTGTGCCCCCACGCCAAGACCCACCGGGCTGAGAAGGAGGAGGCTCAGCTCTGTCTACTGGTTGATTCTGTTCTCTGTGTGGGTGACATCTATGAGGGTCTTTGAAACCTGCCCCCAAAGTGGGAGCTGTACATATCCCTGACCCCACTGAAGAGCGATCAGAAGCCTCCGGGCTGGAGCCTATGAAGCCAAACCCATGGCGGAGGGCCTCCTCACATCACACAGAGCCTGCTCCCAGCCCCGCCCAGCCCTCTCGCTGCTGCTAGCAGGTGTGGGTCTCCCCAGGGCAAGGATCACCCCTGGACATCCTCCTCGTGATGGAAGGCCCAGGCCCCTATATGGTTGCTTCGGTCCTCACAGCACCCCCATGAAGGAAACAGGGGGGCCTTCTCTCCCTGGGTGACTGAGGGGTACTGAGGACTGTTGGTTCAGCAACATGGGCCTGAACCCAGAAATAAAGGCGGCTGAGGTGAATGAATCCACGTCTGTGTTCACCAAGTCGGCCCCAGGCCAACCCCGTGGTGGCAGTCTGGGTGAACCCTCTCAGCATGGTGGGGAAGGAAGGGGCCCAGGGACAGGTCCCCCAAGAGAACCCAGAGGCTGGGTCCTGCCTGCCACTCTCTAAGCCTTATTCTTCAGGGGAATGGCCAGCCCTGTGCGGCCCTCGGGCCAGCCTAGGGGGCCTGGCTGTTGCTGGTCTCATGCCCCGGTCTTCACCCTAGGGCTCTCTGAGGCTCGGAGAGGGCAAGGGGCCCCAGAGCCACACAGGGGCACAGGAGCTGGCACCACAACGCCTGAGCTCTTCGAGAGCCACATGACCACATCCTTGCCGAGCCAGGCGTGAGCCCTTGCATGGACAGGGCCCGTCCTCTCCACGCCCTGGGATCTCAGCAGCAGGAGCCAAGGCACCTGGACCCCCGCTGCCTGCCTGAGCTGCTTCCTCTCTCCTGCCTGGCATCCTTGCCAGCCCCACCTCTCTGCACAGGGCTTCAGAACAGTGAGCTCTGTTCTGCCCACATGACCTCTGCCCCAAGGAGCTCACAGCTCTGCTGCAGAGGAGACGGAGGGACAGAGGACTGACTGCTCTGCCGTTTGTACCCCAGGTGGGTGAAGAGCTTGCGGTGTTTCCTGAGCTGAGCAGGGAGAGGGAACATGCTGACCTTGGTGTGGTCTCTTGACCCCCCACCTTACTCCAGCAGAAACACCTCCTCGACCCCCTCCCCACGGCCCAGCCATCAGGCTGACAAGCACAGTGCGTGAAGGCTCTGTGGCCCGAGCCTGGTTTGAAAGCTCGCTCCACTCTAGTGCTGCGTTCAGCCCATGTTGCTTGACCTTGGGCAAGTTGCTTCACCTCCCTGTGCCTTGGGTCCTGTAGACACAGAGCAACCCCGGGAGACGCAGGTGGAGCCCCAGAGCAGCCAGCCCTCAGTTCTCAGCCAGATGCAGAGCATTTTCCGTGTGACTCTGGCTTTCCTCTCCTCTGGGGGCGGGGGCGCGCTAATAATATCCCCTGGATGGGGGCGTCTTGGAGCATGAGATGGGCCCAGGCACACATGCGCAAGTCCTGGGCCAGCCCACAGAAGCGCCGTTCACGAGCGCCTGGGGAAGCCTGGCGTTCGGAGCCTGGCATGTCCTCAGCTCACCTCGGCTGGGCTGGGCCTTGGCAAGGCCGCAGGCATCCGGATCCAGGGAAGTGAGTACAACCGCAGGCCAGACGGCCACCCTGGCAGTGGCCTGTGCTTAGTGCCATTGCGGGAATGGGCGTGGGAGGAAGCCTGGCTCCCCTCCCCCACGCTGTGCGTCACTGGACCAGCCGCCCACACCAGGCCCGGGTTCCCTTCTCTGAGCCCCAGGCACTAGCAGACGATTCTGGCATCTCCTCAAGCGTACCCAGAGCCCTGGCTGTGAGGACAACAGAGAAGGGGACAGGCGAGGCCCCCAAAGTGTACTGGGGTGGAAGCCACGCAGCTGAGCCAGCACTTCAGGGGCTGATGGGGGCGAGGCAGAGGTGGCCAGAGAAGGGCCAGCTTAGCTCTCAGAGGGGAGTCCGGGGACAGGCAGCAAGTCCTCTGGCTCGCAGTAGCGAGCCGGTGGTGGGGAGAGCCCGCAGGCAGAGGGCAAGCTGCAGGGCGTGGGCAGCGAAACAGCTGGAATGCTCATGGCTCAGCTTTGCTGGGAAGGCGCCAGTCAGGGCGGTGAGGACAGCAGGTAGACAGCGGGCAGGTGACCATGCGAGTTCCACCCAGGGAGCCCCGGGGGGTGGGGGGGTAGGCGGCTTCATGGTTTGGGCCGAGAGGAAAAGAAGTAGCTGAGAAAGACGCCCTGTGGCCACCCCAGGCCCCCGGCACAGGGATGCAGGCAGACTGTGCGCCCGTTTTACAGATGGGCCCCGAGGAAGAGCGACAAAGGCGAGATGACCCAGTGCCCAGGGCTCCACACGCCTCACCCACTGCCTGCCAGCGGAACCCGGGGGGCACACAGCCCGGGAGCAGGTGGCAACTGGGTCTGTTGCCACCCAACTCCCTCCAGCAGCTGCCACATGGGAGACCAGTGGACCCAAGGAGGGCTGGGGAGGCTTTGAGGATGAAGGAGGAAGAGGTAAGCCCCCTCCATGCAGGAGTCCACAAGGAGGCCTAGATTTAAAACACCAAGAAATGGCAAATCAAGCGTGGAATTCGGGAGGGGAATCCCAGAGGAAACCCCCAGGCTGGAGTCGGCAACTGGGGCGGCCTGGGGGGTGGGACAAGCAGAAGGAGGCTGCTTTTCCTCACCAGCGGAGACCACATGACCCAAAGCCAAGTGCGTATGTTGCTCAGAGAAAAACAGAAATGACACAAAAACATGGCTTTATATATTATTGATCAGGCTATGACCTCATCGCTCCAACGATTAGATGTTTCGGAAGTAATTCTCTTAAAGGTCATTTCAGAAAACAAGACGGGATAACGGTGAAATTGGAATATGAGCCAGATATTAGATAATGGCGCGCTAACATTTCCTGAATTTGATGATTGATGCATTAAGAGGTGCGGGTTTGGTCTCTGCCACAGAGCTTCTGTCTGAAACCGTGGGATTCCCTGAGTGCTTGGCGTGGTAGATGGCCTTTCTTATTCATAATAACCCACCTCAGCCACACCCCTGTGGGCGACACTTGGAGGGCAGGGCAAGGCAGCAGAGGAACCGACCTGGGATTAGAGGTTCCAATCCCCATTCTAGAACTTTCTGTAGGGACAGGTAAGGACCTGGCATCCAATCACTGATGGCCAATGATTTTATGATCTAATTGTGCCTGAACCTATCTGAACCTCCATAAAACCCTAAGTGAAGAGGTTCACGAAGCTTCTGATTTGGGGAAGCCGACACTACCCCCATAAACCTCACCAGCCTGGTGTGTTTGCAACCTGTAGGCGGCATCTGTTTGCTGAGAAGAGAAGTCTGGGTCCCTCCCGGGTGCTAGAAGCCACCACAGCCAAAGGACGGCTGCAGGACGGCTGGGACTGAGCAGCTTGAAGTCCGGCAGGACACGAAGGGCCACAGACTCGCTGGGTCAGTGTGTGGGAGAGGCAGCGCCAGCCACAGGCTGGCTGGACTCAAACAAGTGTCCCCTCTCTGGACCTGCTTCCTGCATCTAAACAGTCGCACCCAGGGCCTGGCACAGCCTGGTGTGAGCCTGCGAAGTGTGCCCCTAGCTAGCCCTGGCAGCTCACAGCAGGCAGTCTGCTTTCTCACCTATGGCATGGGGCTACGTCGGCGAGGCGAGTGCGGGAGCTCTAGGTGCATCACTGCTGCCCAGAAGGCTGCTGTCCCTTACGTACACGAGGTCTTTCCACATCTAGAAACCTGTGCAGCACCTGGGATCCTCAGGCCTCAGGAAGATTCAGGGGAGACCATGCCACAACACTTGTACCTGATGTGGATAGAAGAGCTTCCCGATGGTTTCTGAGCTGAGCAGGGAGAGGGGACATGCTGACCTTGGTGTGGCCTCTTGGGCAGACCAAGGCCCAGAGGTTACAGGTGAGCCCCCTGTGGGGGCGAGGTGCGGGGCAGGAGCAAAAAAAAGGGTGTGTGGACCAGGAGCCACAGTTACGCCTATGGGGAGCAGCTCTGTCCCAGGGGAAGAGAAGGGATGGGGACAGAACGTGGCCTCGAGACCCACCCTCCTTTCATGAAATTCTGTGGGCTGACCAACAGCACAATCAAACGCAGAACAGAAAATGGCAACAGAATAGAAAATGCCAGTGTCTAGTTTTAAGTGTGATTTTATGAACTACAAGATTATTAAGTGTGGCTCTGGGTTTCAGTCAGCCAGCTTGGAAGGATAATGAAAACCTCCTCAAAGTCTCCTCAAAGACTACCAAGGCTTGGGGCACATGGAAAATGACTGCCCCTGGGCAGAACTGCCAGCTGGGAAGTCAGGTCGGTTGTAGGAAAAGTGATAAGGATTTTTCATACCAAGTTTGGTTCAAATCCTGAACTAGGAGAATTTTTTTAATATTTGGTACAGTGGGGTTATAACTCTATGGCCTCAGTAATTTTAAAAAAGGAAACGAACCTATTTCCTGAGAACTCCAGCGACTGTAAACAAAAAGAAAGCGCAGGCTGTGAGGGTATGTGGGCTCTTGGGCTGCTTTCATTTTTAAAAGCTACGTAGTTGAGAATACAGAAGAATGTTCTCTTCTGTGGCCTAGAAGTTCAGCCATGTGGAAATGTGAAATGCAGCTGTTTATAGCAAGGTGGACGGAGCTTGAGGAAAACTGTGTCAAGAAAAGCAAATGAGAACAACAAAGACTAGAGACAGTTCTCACTGCACACCTTCTGGGTGCTCCAGAGGAGATCGAGAAGAGGATCAAAGCTGACAGGCTAAGCCCTGCCTGCAAAGAGCAGCATATTGTTCGT